TCTTCTTCCATACCTTTCCCTCTCTTACAGACTGAGCAAAATCCTAAACAAATCTCTTCATTTTCTACCCGTTCTGCTATCCCACTAACCACCCAACCCACAAGCAAAGGCCTCACTCTCCAATCTCACCTGGACCTCCGCTGGTGTTGCTGTTGCTCAGCTCCTCTTCCCAGGCAGGAGGACGGGTGCAGGACAGGTGAAGCCTCCTGCTGCTTCCAGGACGCTGCCAAAAGAGGGATCAGGAACGTCACACCGCTGAGCACCGCCGGGAGGGAGAGATGAGAAGCTGCCAGAGGCACAGGGTGTGCTCCGTGGCTTTGCAACTGCGGACATTTCTGTGTCCTTGTTCCAAACAGCTCCTTGCAGCTGTGGTAACTGATTTGTTCAAAAGGTAAAAACACACTTCCAGTGAAAGGAAAAGGGGCACGGAAAGATTATCTGACAGCTTCCTCAACCTTCGGCCCCAAAAAGCTGAGCCAAGAAACAAACGCGAGCAGAACAGCCAGTGTCCAAAGCATCTGAAACCCTTCATCCCAGCCCAGATCTCGCTAGGAAAGATGGAGCAAGGCGAGCTGTGGCTTTGTTGTTCCCACACAGTCACACATTGATGTTTTGCCACGACTGCTTTGGCAGATGCACACATGCAGCACGGGGCCCTGGCCAAGCATGTGGCTCTCCGCAGCCCCTCTCCCTTCACCCAGAAATGTTCTTTGCTGAGCAACGCATCAAGGAAGCGGCTGAGGGGCTGATCAGGGCCTTTGGCAGCAGGACCCCGATCTCCTGAGCCTGCGGAGGGCCGGGCACCGCCTCACAGCGCGAAGAGATGGGCAGGGGTACGGAATGGGGGAATTCACTTCACAAACGTGTTTAATTCGAGGCATACATGGGGCAGGGCAAATTAATAATAACAATTTTTAAAAAGCCTCTAGTGCCTTTAAAACTCTCAAGGGTTTATTCATATAACTGCCAACCCAGGGCTGTGAGGGTAACGTTTGAACCCGGCACCCCCCACGGGGCCTCGCGAGGGCGGCGGCTCCACAAGATGGCGCCTCGCGCACCGCCTCAGGCGCCCACGGCTCCCGCGCACCCCCCCCCCGCCCTCCCGCCGGCCAATCACGAGGCCGCCCCGGCTCGGGAGAGCCAATCCGTGCGGGGCGGGGGCGGGGCGGCGCTATGGCGGACGCGAGCGGCGGGAGCGAGGCGGTGGCCGTGGCGGTGGCTGAGGGGGCGGCCCCGCCGCCATTTCAGGTGAGGGGCGGTGAGGGGGGGGCCGAGAGAGGAGGCGGGAGAGCCGGCGGGAGAGCCGGCGGCCCGGCCCGGCCCGGCCCGGCCCGGCCCGGCGCTGGGCATGAGGTGGTTTAACGGAGCGTAAACGGTTGTCACGGGTTGCACGGAGAAGTTTCCACGCAGCGTGGTGGAAAAGGACGGTGAAAGTGCCGTAAATTTAGCAAAAATGGGCATTTGGCATCCTGTGAGGCCAAAGGACTTTTCAAACAACTGTAATGTTATCAATACTTTATTGAGCGCTTTGCAGGGCAAAAATTTACTTTAAACATACTTTGGTGTTTGTATAAATAAAAATTCTGTCTAGTAAACCAGGTGAAATTAGCTAAAGTGTCTCCTGCTGTAAATGTTTTGGGGTTTTTTGTTTGTTTGTTTTCTGGCTTGTATTTTGACAAATTCAGTCACCAAGGGTTTTGTTTTTGTTTTTGTTTTTGTTTTTTTCAGTACACGTGGAGAATCTAATGTTTATTCTGTAAAAACCTTTAGAACAGGGAGCATTGTAGTTAAAAAAAGCTTACAGGGAAACCAAGTGGCTGTGATGTCCGTGCTCCCAGCCCAGCTGTGGCCCCGCGCTGCCTCCTGAAACACCTGGAGGTCTCTGGAAGGAGCATCCCTTCAGAGGATGTGACCAGGTGTGACAAGGATTTCATTCTTCTCTCCGCAGTACAGCCCAGACAATGTCCCTGGGGCAGATGGCGACGTGGACCCCACTGAGATCACCTTCCCGGGGTGTTCCTGCCTCACCAGCTCCTGCATGGCTCCCGTGTGTTCCTGCCTTCGCCGAGGTGAAAACTACGACAACCTGTGCCTGAGAGCTGCAGACAACGAGGAGTACGCCCGGCCGATCTTCGAATGCAACGCCCTGTGCCGGTGTGGGGAATCGTGCCAGAACAGGGTTGTTCAGAGGGGTTTGCAGTTGCGGCTTGAGGTATTCAAGACTGCTAAGAAAGGGTGGGGTCTCCGCACGTTGGAATTCATAGCTAAAGGAAGGTTTGTTTGTGAATATGCCGGTGAAGTTTTAGGCTTCAATGAGGCATGTAGAAGAATTCAGGCCCAGAAACCACAGGATTCAAACTATATCATAGCAGTGCGGGAGCACCTCCATAGCGGTCAGGTCATGGAGACGTTTGTTGACCCTACGTACATCGGTAACGTAGGCAGATTCCTGAATCATTCTTGTGAACCAAATTTATTTATGGTGCCAGTTCGAGTTGACTCCATGGTGCCTAAACTGGCACTGTTTGCAGCCAGAGATATTGCTGCCGGAGAGGAACTTTCTTATGATTATTCGGGGAGATTCTGTAATTCACCACTAACCAGCAGAGAACAGCAAACCTCAGAAGAAGATAACAGAGTGCGAAAGCCGTGCTACTGTGGTTCCCGCGCATGTGCTTCCTTCCTGCCGTGGGATGGCTCCCTGTTCTCCACACCAGACAAATGTTCAGAGAGCTCTTCATAGCTTTTCAGGCCCTAAGCATACAGTGATACCATCAACTCCAGCAGTTAAATTGCAGTTAAGCCAAAGCCTGATGGTGCATTCTACCAGTAATATCAGGGAAGTACATACAGAGTAAAAGCTAAAAAATAACATTTTTGAAACTGTCTGCATGCAATATCCTGGAGACTGTTTTCAAGGTGAATGATAAGAGGAAGCACTGGAGCTTCAAGATGTCCTGAAATCAATTACTGAGCTGGGACTGGTGCTTTTTTGTTGTTCTTTTCTGACAGCTTACTGTGTGTGAAAGCACTTGTCTTGATTTGTACTAAAGCTTTCAAAAAGAATGTACTGCAACACTGGAACAGAGAAAGGGTACGTGATAACAGTGACAAACATCCCTGAAAATTGCACAGAGAAGAAAGTGAGAAAATGAATGTTGATGTCTGCAAAAAGGGCATTAGGTTTCTTAGATTTCATTAAAAGAAATATTTTAAAATGAGTTGCTATTTTGTTTGTTCCACGAATCAAAAATAGTTCTTATTGATGTTAAAAACTTCCCCAGAACGATTAACTTAAATGCTCCTTCCTCCCTTTTCCAGTCACATCTAACTGCTTGCCAAAATTTGCTTTTAAGGGGTTAGTTCAGTTTCATTATCACTTAGCAGCTGGGTAAACTGTGCAGCACCACGGGCTCTTAGAGAACAATCATCCCATCTTTTTAAACCACATCTTTCTCAAGGCTCATCTAACGTGATTTCTGCAATAATAGCAAGCTTCACTTCCACGTTGCTTTCCAGCACTATAATTTTGCACTCCAAAGCAGACTCAGGCTGCATTCCGAGCAGCACGGGGCTGCCAGTCTGGCTTCTGAAATGGATTAAAAGGGAAACGGTAAAGTATGTCTGAAAACAACAAATTTTGAAAAGCTGTAAGATAAAAGTTCCTTTTCATTGTTTCTCCAGAGGCAAACTATGAAGCAAGGCCTTTTTTAAGCAGAGGAAACAAGTCACTGCATCTTCTTTTTGTTACTCTCGTTTGGGGATAACATGGGGGCTGCTTTGCTGGGCCTGCATCCACACGGCAGTGACAGAAGAGCCGGCTGGGGCATGCTCTGAAACTGCCTGTTGGGTTGTGTCCTCCGTAGAAAGACGAAGGCAGCTTCACACAGCCTCCTGTTGAAGTCCCTCCATCAAAGCAAACCACGAAGTGGCTCTGCTGCCTGTACAGAACGCTTCCAAAGGAGTTCAGCTGCGTGTAAAGCACTGCTCACACACAGCATGGCCACTAACTTTACTCCTCGCCTGATACAGGCAGCCCATTTCTACAGAAATTCACCACTTTCCCTAACCCACACTGCATGCTTCACTGCGTACCAGAACGCAATACCTTGTCTCATTTAGAGGCTTATCTCATTTTCATCTCCACAGGAGCGTTGTGGCAGCCACACAGACATTTTCAGCCTACCGGACGGGAGATCTGGGAGTAGATGAGCCAATCTACTTCTTTTTTTCCTTGGGGAAAAAGTTTCAGGACTTTTTTTTTTTTACCTCCTGTTCTCCTATTCCTCCAGATGAGATGGGTTTTCAAGCTGACACGGCTGTTTGTTAGCTTCCTGTTAGGAATACGTACTTGGCACGATGGGCAGTAGTTAAGGAAGTGTAGATTCCAAACCCAAAAGCAGTGCTATCTACTTGCACCTCCAGCCTTACAGCAGAAACCAGAGCCAAGCCTCCTTTGTGTGCTCCTACCCGCTCTCCCAGCAAGCTGCTGCTATTTCCAGCAAGTGAACCAAATAGCAATTACCTGAGGAGGGCAAACTTCCACAGCACAGGGCAACAAGAGGCTGTGGCACTGTTAAACACAGCCAGTTGCATTAAAGGCCCAGCAAGGCCATGAAAAGATGCTTTGCCCTTGAGCTGTGAACTACTGGGGCAATTGGCAGGGGCCTCAAGTGGCACATGACGTGTATTGGACCTTGCACAGCCCCAGCACTGCAGCTGCCCAGGGTGGGCACCAAAGTCCCTGCAAAATCTTGTAATAAAATACAGAGACCATGATCCAAAAAAGAGCACACATGGGGCACCTTTGACCATCTCAGTGGAAGAGCAGGGAGACCTCCCTCCACGCATCTCCGAGCCTTGGCACAGTCCCAGCGTTGTGGCACAATGAAGCTGGTTTTAAATAGTGATCAGATCTTTCCAATATACAGAATTACACGGTTGGGTTTTTTCTTTCTTTCCCCTCAAGGCATTTTTTCCAGCATAAAAACCACCACCAATCCTAGGCAACATCTTTAATAAAGTGTTCGTTCCTTCTTATAGCAGAAAAATGCCTTTTAGAGAAGTAGAATCTATTAAGAACAACAGGGAAATACATTTTTTATACAGAGATTTTAATTAAACATTTAGTAGTAGTAAAATAGCCTTTAGAATAGAAAACATTTAACATAGCTTTCAACATGGAAATGTGTTCCCGAATCCTTTCTGCTGCCAGAATGGCTGATGCGTAGTGTCCGTCCCCTCCAGGGGCTGGTGCTCCTGGAAGGTGCCCCCAGAAGCCCTCCAGCGCTCGCCTTTCCCTGTGAAACACAGAAGTGGAGAAGCACCTGGCAAGCACTGGCTGTGTAGTGACCCCCACCGAGTTCACTACAAGAAAATAGTGCTGGGAAGGGGTGGCAGTAATGCAAAAATGGTGCTACACCATCACATTCTCACTGTTGCCTCTCGAAGCATCTGACAAGACGGCCAAGACCGACCCCTTGCACACGCAGGCAGCTCAGAGGCCTGGCAGCGGTCAGCCACACAGCTGACAGCACGGTGGGGCTGACAGGACAGCCCCTTGGGGACAGAGCTTACTGCAGGAACAGCTTTGGGCTCCCTGGCACAGCAGTGTCCCCAGCTGCTGTGGGCAGAGTGAGAGTGCAAAGCGCTTTGCAGAAGGGCTGAAATACATTCAGATCCCCATATGAGGTAGCTGACAGTATCTCCCCTTCTTCTCCTTGCTACAGTTCTACTAAATGAAGCTTTTGTTTGTTTGCTTTGAATTGAGAGCACAGTTTCTGAATTTACCTTTTTAGGCCTTGGGGCTCAGTTACAATTACCTCCTTTTCACTTTAACGACCTGGTGTTCAGGTAGAGCCAGTCTCTAAAGCCATTTTTGCGATTTGCAAGTCCCCCAAACAGGCCCACAGCATGTCCAAGAGAAACTCCAAGGAAGGTGCCAGCGTCTTTCCATCGGTAAGAGTCTTAAACCTAAAGAGATGCTTTACATTTTATTCAGCCATGGACATCCCTAACCATCAGGGTGAGGATTGCCACCCCTCAGCTGCAGAAGGCACTTCCTAAAGAGGAGCAAATATCACACCACAAAACGCACCTTTTGGTGCAGGCAGGATTTGATGTGAGAGCTGCACGGACCGCCCATGGGGGCAGTTGTCCTTCCTGCAGTCCTCACCTCTTCTCAAAGTGGTGACTGTGCCTCCCACGGGGTCACAGACGCAGTAACCGCTTCAAATTTCTTTTAAAGCTCTCAAATTTATAAAAGTCCTTGTTTGTGGGATTTGAGCGTGGAAATTCAAACCATACATAAAATTCTTAAAAGATCTTTTCCAAAGGATCTACAAAACTCAACCTTTTAAAATACAATCAGCGTGGTTTTGCTCAGTTTTGTGCCAGTGCAGCTCCAGGACACCCCCACTGAAACCCACGGCAATAAGAGGTCGGTCAGGACAGAAACCCAGGCCGGGTTCCCCAGAGATAAATCCAGGAAGCTCCAAGAGACGGTGGCTGGTGCTGGACCCCCTGCCCCACAGGCACATGAGGGGTTTTTCCGTTCTGTCTCAGCAGCAGGCGTCAATCCCTACGTCTTTTTTGTCTCTTTTTGTCCTCGGGTGCAGCTGAGCCGCTCAGTCGGGGTGGGAGCCCTCTGTCACTGCCGCTCTGGCAGGGCATCGGCTGCGCAGCGGAAGCCCAGGTTGGAAGCGGAGCTGTCGGGGGTGTTCTGGCTGCGGGCTGCACAGCGGTACCTGTAGCAGTAAGACTGGAGAGAAAATGGGGAAATGGTCACTAGGGCCTGCCACGGTGTTCCCCTAGGTGAAAGGGTTAGCGACACAACAAAGCATTCCACACGCCCCGATGAACTGACACGGATCAAAATTGCCGTGCCAGAGATAAGGAAAACAGTTCTACAAAGAGACCAACTGCAACAGATGCAAAGGGGAGTTTGAATGGCAAAAAAAAACATGAGAGTAGGCTAATATAGGCCAATAACGCCTGTCCTCGCACTGCTGCATGTCGCTGAACAGCCTCAGAGCTTTCATTCTGCTGGCAGAACTTGGTGCTCTGCGAGGGACCAGCCAGAGCAAAAATGGCACCTGGAACAACTCCAGGAAGGACCAGTGCGCTCGTAGAGCTCTAAGCCTGTACCAGTCACTTGGAGAAACGCTGTGAGCTCACAGCCAGCCAGCCGGCTAGTGCATGTTTCCCCCATCCCTTTAAATAAAAATCCCTTCAGGAGTTTGGGCGTAGTTACTGCAGCAATTGTCGCTGTACAGCCAGAAGGGCACTGACACCTCGTGCTCTCTGCGGAGGCAGCAGGGCACTGAATGTTTCTCCCCACGAGTCTCTCCACCTAAGGAGACATCCCAACACCAGCTCCTCACTCACCCTGCTACCGACACGAAGCCCTAAACAAGAAGGGGGCATGCTGTGCTATCATACAGCAGAGGTCTACCCCTAAACTTAAGGCACGCTATTAGGGTGCAGAAGCAAAACTACTTCAAAAATAAAAGAATGTGCTACATGTATGTGTAAGAAAGCACTTACACATAATAAAATACACATAATACTTACACATAATAAAATAAAATAATAACCACGCCAGGAAGAAGGAGCAGAGGGCAGGGGCCTGCTCAGGACGTTGGGAGGAATTCGCCCCGCAGAGCTCAGCTCCAAGAGGTAGAAGAGCAATGAGTTTACACAGATTTTTAGGCAGCTCATGCAAAGCCCTTACACTAATTGTACTTGGTGATTTTTTTTGGCCTTGGTACACAGCCTAGTTTCATCACCTACAAAAACTCTAGGACAGACTAGAATCTTCACAAGCCTTTAAACTGGGTCGCATTATTCAGCACTGAAGATGAGTCTATTCGAGTGTTAATTTAATCAAAACTGCTAATTAACATCTGACATTGATTTCACCTAAGAAGGAAGTCAGTGTAGAAAATGGGATCTCACTGTAGAAAGATTTAATCTAATTAAGAGGATTGTTTGCCAGCAGCAGGCTTTGCAAGGGGAAAAAAGAACAGAAGAGCTTTAATGAGAAAGGAGATGTACAGTGAGCATTTTCTCCAGTGCAGCGTGAACAGAGTTTAAAACACAATTTATGTTCATGAAAGTAGCTTTGCAAAACATTTCCCGTACTTCCCAGTAGAAGTCAAACCAGAAGAACATGAAAGGCTGTTCCATGTGGTGTACCCAGACTTTCCAGAAAGGATTTCATGTCTGCTATCATGGAAGCTTTCTCCACATTTATTATTTGGAGAAGGACGTGTATTATTTTCCAGAGGAAATTTTGGAAATAAGTTATGGGTCCTCCAAGATCAAAAGGTATTTTCTAGGGAGAAACAGCCTCAGAGTGGATGGAGCAGCCCCTACAGCACACTCAGAACCAAGGCACATGAGAAGTCCTTGTACTCGGCACGCTACCTTTGCTGTTCACCCAGACACCAAGTGTGCGTTCAGACCTTGCTTTGAAAGTTTCAGTTTGAGTTAAAATCAGCCTTGAACAATATCTGTGCTGTTTTCCAGGTTGTCATGCCAAGCCTGGTGATAAAAAAGTATTATATATGATGATAAAAAGCACTGAAGGTTTTGAATTTCAGATGATAAAAGGTCAGTGGCCTTTTACACTCAGCTCCATATAATACAAGGGTGCGTTTATCTAGAACTGGGATCTTGGTCATGTTGCTTTCAGTTTCCCATGCAACCAAAAACTCTGCAAGTCAGAGCTGAATAAGCTTCAGCTTTCCTGGGCAACAGTGTCTATGCTGACTTCCTCCTTGCCACAGAGACATCTGTCTCCTTCCAGAAGCAAGCTAGCAATATCTGGTGAGAACAACAAAACAAACACCCATACAGCTTTGTGCAGAAGGCTGGCAGCGTGCTGGCGAGGCCTGGCTCTGCCTGCTGCCACATACTGGCTGCCCAGCAGCACGTTCAGCTTATTCTCTTTACATCAGAAATAAACGGAAATGGCTGGAAAGCAGAACCTGCCAACAAGCCAGCGGCTGAACTGATGGATTCTGCTGCAGCCCTTCTCACTTACCTTGTGGCACATGTAGGATCCGCCCTTCTTCACTTTGTCAGTCCCTGAGGAGGGCCCGGTCTGTGGGGGGAACAACACTGGTTAGCAGGGTAAGGGGTACAGGGAGATGGACAAGGAGCACGCGTGAATATTCAGAGCGAACAACCAACTTCAGCTGTGTCTGAACAAGGCAGCTTGAAATGATGAGGTGGTGAGGGCTTTGCAGACAGGTGAGTCGATGTCCTCTGGTACTGCAACATCTCAGCTGTAACCTACCTGCCCAGACAGCACTGCCTGTTGCTGTAAAGCACCTGGTATCAGGCTGTAAAAAGCACAGTGGCAATCATGAGAGTAATGCGCTGAAAACAGTTCTGATTTTGTAGCGTCAGACCTTTTCTAGGAACAGGTTATGTGCCCTCACACACCAGCCTGCGCGCTCGCTGAGAGCTGACTTGTCAGCTCCACTGCTCCGTGTCAGCTCCGCAGGGGGTTGCACAAACACCACCACAGCCCCTGCGTTCATCACCCTGTGGGCCTGTGAGCCTCTAACACAGAGCAGCTCCACTCCTCTAAGCACAGCTGTACTGATCTGTGGCCAGTTAAAGACAAGGGGCTGCAATATCCAGCACCTGGTCTTTGTTCTCTTCCCAGTCCCAAGTGCAGACTCACAGCACAAGTCAGCGGCTGCGCTGCGAGGCAGTCGGTAACATCTCCCAGTCACCGGGTACTGAATTTGTTATTATGTGGGGCTGTGACAGCTAAAGAGGTCTGCAGAAAGCACTGCACTTACGAGCAGCAATTTTGTAATTGCAGGTACGTTTGCAGGGTAATGTATGTGATTTATTTAAACTGCTTATGAAATTGGCCCTAGAATTGCTTTAACAAGGTTATTTCACAATTCTTTTTCAATTCCAACTCCAAATAATGGCCCATGAGTTCAAGGAGAAAGCTGGGCTTCCTTGATAACACTTTTGCTAGCTAGATGATTGTGTGATTTGACACGCTTATTACACAGGTGAGTGATTCTCCCGCTGCAGTCCTTTAAGCTGTGAAAGTTACTGCTGCAATCTGCTTACCATCAGGCTGCTGCGATGCCTGGTTCCCAGTATTGATACCAAGCGTTCTTACACGCTTCCTACAGACCCTGTGCATTGACAAACTGCTGTTAGGAAGGAGCCAAAGTGTCCTGAAACGTGACAAACAAGATCAAGAAAATAAACAGTGTTTTATCAGGTAAGTGGCAAGCAAAGCCTAAAAGGCAGTACAGCCACTAAGAAGCCTCTCAGCGTTGTAGGGAGTTGAATTTTTATTCTGTAGATGTCTCAAGAAAAAGGCCTTGACCAATATAAAACCACACTCAATGAAGGAAATTTTCACCTCTAACACCTCGTTAATGCAGGACTAGCTCCCCTCTAGGAAGGAGGTCCTTAGGGAGGGGATTCCACAGAGAAGAGCTAAAGAAGCTCTCAGCTGCACCCACTGAATGTGACTGCCCTAAAAGCCTTCATGTTTTGAAGCCTTCCCATTCTGGAACCTCAGCAGTCTCACATTTAGTGCAAAAGCTTTTAAGAGAACAGGTAGGGAAAAAAAATTTTGGTCTACTACACTGAATATCCTACAAACATGCGAGGAAAAACACACCCACGTACTGTGTCCTCTGATTTCCGTGCCTGGGTGCTCCCCCGCAGGCAGGCTCACTCCTTAGCCAAGGTCTCTGGGAACTGACTTCCAAACCTTGCCTGCAGATGCACTGGGCCCCGCGGTACGATAAGCCACGAACAAGCACAATCGACTCAAACAACCTGCTAATCTCATTTTAAGGGAAGCCAGGGTACAGCCAGGCATCAGAAAACTGACCTAAAAAAAGCCACATGAGAACAAGACAAACCAGAAAACAATGGAGCTGTTGAGCAGGATTTCCCATTAAAAACTGCAATGCAAAACAGAGCAGTGATCTTTGCTGGTAGCTCCGAAACAGCTCATCTGAACAAAGAGGGCTGTGCTAATTTAGGGTTAAAAGAAGGTTCATTGTCCAGCTACACAGCTACAACTGCTGGAGCATACGGTAAAGGTCCTATACCTGGCAAAGAAGGTTTTTTTTTGTTTTTGTTTTTTAAACCACTGTTACAGAACGATATAAATCTAATACTTTGAGAAGACAGCAAACAACTTACAAAACACTTTCAGATGTCCCAGTTTATTTTTTGCCCTTGGTAATCATTTGTGAATGCAGGCCAACGAATTACATGAAAAAAGCATGCGTAGAATTCCTTGTTACATTCCTTCTTACCAATCCACAAAATCTCTCCAGTTCTAGAAGACCGAAAGTTTCAGATCTTACATTAAATGTGTTAAAAAATAAATAAAAAAACCCTTTCAACCAAACTCTGACCCTCTAGAAGAACTCCTAGTCTTTTAGGCAGAAGGAACATATCCTATATATAGGTTACACTGACTCGTACTCTGGAGAGACTGAAGAGATTGGCTCTGATAGATATGGCGCTAATCATTTTTAATGTCTCAGAAGATACTGCAGCCTGGCTATTTTGGGACAACTTTTCACATTATGAGATTCAGTTTCCTTATCCATTTAATCAGAAGAGCTCCTTGGAATTCACTTTGGAGGGCCTGGCCTCAGACCTTAGATCCTGACACTTGGTTTCCCAACTGAAAAAAAAAACTAAAAGCATCATTGTTGACACCTCCTTGTTAAATCTTTTCTGAAGTGTTTGGGAAATGTTTGTGCCGAATTTAAAAAACTAAACTTAAGAGGCTGTGAGTTTGTGTAACAGAGAGCAAAACTCTGAAGTGAAATATAACTCTTGTTTCTCACCAATTAATTCAACACAGAATGTATGTAAGGCAAGAGCTGGTGTTTGAAAGCGAGGGGTGTGTATTTATACGTTCAAGAGAATTCATCCAATACAGCTTTTCATTATTACTGAATTATTACAGAATTATTACAGAAATGGGTAGAAATTTTGAATGATCGTGAAATTCTCAAATTGCATCATGTGACTTATTTGTACACACCGAGAAATAGCACCTGGTGTACAGCACAGCCAAAGTTCCAAAGGAAAGGAGTGTTGCTGCCTTTTTTTTAAAAAAAAAAAAACAAAAAAAAACCTATTGTTAAACTGCTATGACTGCCTGCCAACAACAAGTAAAGAATGGCTCATCCTATTTTTTATTTTTAAAGTCAAGCAACAAAACCCCTACATTCCCAACATTTCAGTTACCTGGGAAGAGATGTGTAACTATACCATCTGATGCACAGCTTCAACCACCAGGGAGACCTGAAGGACCTTATTGGGATAAAATAACTTGAAACTGCCCAATGTGATCAGTACACATCACCTCTCCAGTTTCTCCACCAGGATGATCAAACTGCTAGTACAGAACTATGGCAATTTAGACCCCAAGATGAGCCCATTTTCTCATGCTGACAACATCCTCCTGGAAGAGCAGGATGTCAGCCTCTGCTACGTACTGACCAGCAGATAAATTTCGCAGGTTCCTCAAGCTGCTTCCAACCACTGACTTCTCACAGGGCTGTGATCACGTCCGGCACACCAGACAAAGCCAGCATATCACACGAGACCGCAGCATGGGGATACTCAAATCCTGCAGCAACAGATAGCTCCTGCCCAGAGAGCTTTAACTCGTTTTCTCATTACAGATAACTGTGTCTGAACAAAACAAGCTCTGTGAGAACGGAGCAGTTCATTTCTCAGATTTAGTCATCCTAGATAAGTGAGAGAGAAGGGGATGTAATATTAGAGCTTGAATCTACCGAGAGATAGCGCGTGAGAAACCCCACAAACAAAGCTTACCCTGCTGGGCCTCTTTCTCTGGCTGCCACAAAGAAAACAAAAGATTAACCCTGTCAAAGCCCAGTAAGCTACTTCTACCCATAAGTGTCAGCGTTATTACATGCCGAGTTTTAAATGAGCTAGTAGAAGGCATTACAATAATTCAGAATGGTTTGTTCTCCACCTGGAAAAAGAAATAAATAGCGCAGCTTGCAGCAACAAAACAACCCTCTCACATTTTTTATTTACTTTTTTAAGAAGTAATTCCACTGTATTGGCAAATTATTGGTCAGCTTGGAAGTATTCAATTGCTAACCAATTGTGGAGGTTCATCCAAGAAAATAAATAAAATGGCACGACTACACTGCTAGTTCAGTGCTGATGGCTTGTGCTGTGATACTTGCTGATTCACCAGAACTCAGCCCATCCCACACAGAGAGGAGCAAAGCACAGGGTGATTCTGAACAGCAACCAGACCAGAGCACTAAGAGGGAGTTCTGAACCTCACGTGATGCCAATAAAATACTTACAGGGTTATGAGCTTCCTCTGCTGAATGCTGCACAGCCCACCAGTCCGATGTCCATTCCCAGGCGTTTCCTACAATGTTGTACAAGCCATACCCATTGGGAGGAAATGCAGTGACCTACAGAAGAGAAGTAGCACAAATGCAAGTTCTTTAAACCACGCCACATTCAATAGGGTTTTTAAACCTGAAGACCCGTCTGCTGAAGGCACGTTCACCTCTGCCAAGAACATCTGCATTCATATCTCAAAGACAGACAAGTTACTAGTGCATAGCTGTAATACTTTTACATACTCCATTTACATAAAACTGAATGGAAGAATGCACTGGTATCATCCTCTGTGTTCTCAGCACCATGAAGGCACATGGCACCTTCTCATCAGTTTTGCTGACCGATCCTCCAAAGAGGGGCACTGTTTGATCAAACACAGACGTGCACATAGCATTTGTATTCTAAGCTGCGTGCTGATGCCTCTAACTTCCAGATTCCAATTCCCTTTCCCACCTAAGAAAAGCAAGAGCGGCTGTCAGCTCACACACGTACAGATTTCTTCACTGATTAAACCCTCTAGACTTATTTTGATTGCCAAATAATTTATTCACAAGCTTGTCTTTAAAATTCCACTCCATTGTTTGCCATATCGGACAGGCTCAGCCTTTCAAAAAAGGGAAGTTTCATTGCTTTTAAACTATTGTACAATTTTGTAGCCTTGGGAACACCTAACCAAAAATGAGAGCTAAGAAATTTGCTATGCCAAATGTGGAGGCAGAAAGTATTTCAGCAGCTGACTCAAAAGTTACTGGAGATAGGGAAAAGAGGTCAGCTTGAGAGGAACTAGAAGTTAGAGTGAAGATAATCTTTACTTTTCAATTAAGCTTTTAAAAAGCATCCCTTGGTAATACTCAAGCCTGCAGTGAAATATTTTGGAACTTGACAATCTAAAGGTGAAAGAGTACAGTAGTGGAAAACGTCCGCTGTTCACTGTGTTCAACACAGGCCTCAATTTTAGGAAGAAGTTTGTTCCTGTATGATAGTTCACTTTGAGACACTTACTGGTGCAGTTCCTTTGTACCCATCTTCTGCAGTGTTGTTGCTTGGGAACACTCCCTGCCAGATATTAGCATAGTGCTGGCCTTTTGGCTGAAGCTTATTGCCCCAGGGGAAAAGCCTGTTAAAAGGCAGAAAACCAGTTGTCAAACTTACTTTTTTTCTTCAATAAAAATAAAACACCTTAGCCACCCTTACCCTGGGGAAACTGTTTGTATTCCAGTCCAGTTTGTACCAGAATTAAAAGTTAACGAGGCTTCTGCAAGGACAACGTGTACATGGAGGACAGGAAAGCAGCACTTGCTAGCGCTGCCCTGTGCAGTCCAGGACACAGGAGGGAGAATACACAAACTGTTGTTCACCTTGTCCTCCTCTTCTCTCTAAGCCCACTGACACCTACCAGGCGTATCCACTGCCCCTAAAGCTGCTGTGAAGCAACACTTATTTACTTCTCCAGCTCTCTGGCAACTCTTTCAGCCTTGGCACTAAGCCCCTTTTTTATCTTCCATCTCCTGCCTGCTATGCCAGCAGCCCCGTGTCCTGGCAGTGTCACATCTCCTCTGCTCAGGCTCTTTGCATTCCTTCTCCGTTACAGAACTGAGATGACAAAACACCCCTCAGGTATTTATGGAAATTCATTTACCTAAAGGAATGTGTTCACAATAAGCCTGGGTTATATTTTCCACAGAAACACATCCTGTACAAGAGACATGCAAGGCAATAAAAAAACCAAACTCATGGCTTTTCCCAACCTAGTAAATACCACAGTTTTCCACACTATCACAGACACATCAGTGGCATTTACCTATTCTCAAGGCCCCCTCGGCAGCTGTATTCCCACTCAGCCTCGGTTGGTAATCGCTTCCCTGCCCACGTGCAAAATGCCACAGCATCATTCCAGGACACGTGAAGAACTGGGTGATCCATTCTGGGGAAGAAAACAAACGGGACAAGATCGTCAGCACAACTGGGCAGCCCCACAGCCACACAGCACAGGCAATTAATGAAATTTTGAAGAGCTGGCCACAAAGCACTGTGAGGGAGCTCACAGCCTTGCTGCTCCAGCCAGGACTGCACAAGTTACGATAGGAGCGATGAGCATCCGAGCATCCTTACTCCTACCAGCACCATCTTTTGCAGCTCCCAATCCAGGAAGCAGCAAACTGCACAAGTTTAACAAAGCTTTTTTTTTTTTTTTTTTTTTTGGTGTTTCAGGCAGCCCACAGCTTACACAAAGGCTCCTTTTGTTTCTTTCCTTTGTTCTTTTCCATTTTGTTCTTTACTTTGGTTTGGTTCTAGGACTGACTGTATTCGAATCCTGGCTTCCCTTTCCACAGCCTAAACAAATGCCTCAGCCCTCCTTGTCCCAGGACCGTCCCCATCCAAGCCTCCAACGCACCGAAGTCACTTCAAGAGCTGGGGTTACTGCCCCAGAGGACAGCCTCAGAGGGCTTTCTACTGAACTTGTCTTTTCTGCCTCATTTAACGAGCCAGTCCAGGCCTGCTCGGCCGCTGTAGTGCTTCCACGCAAGGAGCTCGCTAGCAGCTGTACCAGGCCAAGTTTGTACAACACCAGATTTTGGTGGCAGGCTTCCAACTCTCATGTGCTGACTGTGACCTAAATTTCTCAACCTCCCCTAACAATGCCTCCTGATACTATCTCTATTTTTGCCTCAGATAAGTCTTTCATTGCCCTTGGAGAAACGACAACGGACTCGTTACCAAGCCGCGCAGGCAGCAGGTGATGTTACACTAACACGACCCTGTCCTTAGGGGACTCCGAAACATGCCAGCATCTACTAGATCTAGGCTAGAGAGGCTGCCTATTTCCAGCAGCAGTTTAGAAACTTTAACTAGGGAAGCAGTTAGCATTAACTTCGTTGTCACCTGCCTAGTGAAAGGCTTGCAATATATGTGAGAGGTCCCAAACGAGGACAGTCACATCCAACACAGTAACGGGCACAACTGCAGCAATGGCTCCTAACTGTGCAGCCCAGAGCTACTGCTGCAGCAGCTACCTAAACTACCCGAGAAAAAGTGAAGCCTTTTGACTTTCTAGGCATAGAATTCATTCTACTTCTCAACCAGAAGTGACTGTATGAAGGTATCGACTAGCAGGTCTCACAGTTAGCACTAGCAAGGCACTGGCACTCACCATAGGCTGCTCAGAGTACATTTTTCCCAAAGCATTTAGCTTCCAGATAAAGTAACAACTGATTTTCCGTAATCAGCCCACAAAGCCAGAATACATTAAAAACACAAAACTCTTCAGGCTTCTGAATCCCAGGTGGAAGGCACTACACACGCTCCTGAGCATGCAGTTGCTCTTCACCTCCACAACCAGATTTGCACTGCCTGTTCTAAACTTACTAACCCCTACAGGATCAACTCTTCTACTCGTATGTATGCACCAGCAGTGGAACACACACACACTGAAGCACGTTTCAGTACGGTCTCTTTTATCCCAGGATGGAACGTAATCACAGCCAGGTTTGAAACCCTGCTGGGACATCAGCCCTACAGCCACTGAACGCTGCACACAGTGCCCTGGAGGAAGAGAAAACAGGCCCCAGGAGCAGCAGCAAGCAGGTAACTAACCAAAACCCCTTTGTTGCACCTTGGTCCTTGGTGCACGTGTACAGGTTTATGTTCAACAAGCATTATTTATATATTTACTGTTATAATTGAATGCCTAATTAAGACTTACCTGTTGAAGATATTGGAGTCAGGCCCCTCAGGGTGCTTCCAGTTGGCCCCCTTCACAGGCAGCCACCAGGGAGCAGCTGCAACCTGAAAAGGGACAAGAATGGCCAGGGAAGATCACCTGAATTCCCAGGTGCAGGTTATTCAGGAAACAAACACAACGTGGCAGCTGGCCACAAGCCTTAACTCATAGCTCGAGGCTCTGCCTGTAGCTAACTGACCCATCACATCCCTGAACCACCCCTGATGGACCAGGCGGATCACTTGATCCACGTTACAGTGGCACTGGCCAGAAATAGCCACAGGTATGGGCAGCACAAAGAAAACACGACCCCAAAAGAAGGGAGAGGGAGACCAAATGCTGAGCCTTTTGGCCTGGCACATACCGCAGAGATTATAAAAGACAGTTTTGGCCTTGAGAGGGTTTTCATCTCAGCTATTTGCTCCCTGGAGTCAGTGTTTTGGAATAACTAAAACAAGATCTTGATGACATCCTTTAACTAGGGTCAAAACACGCATCTTGCGACACATTTGCTTTCCAGCTATTTTAACTCAGTTAGCTGAGTCTGAATTCTTGGCTATCAGCTTCCAGAAGGTGGAGACAGAGGTGACACAGAAGCTGAAGCTTTTTTTTTTTTTCATTAAAAAAAAGGCTGTTTACTGAAGATCTCCTTGCAAACAGATTGCTGTAATAATGTAAACAGAGGACTTCACTAACCAAAAGTTTCAAATTTGGTTTTGCAAAGCCAAGAAAATATTAATTAGCGATTTCTTCTACTGTGCTTACTTCCAAGCACATTTAACTCTTGACTTCTAGGAGGAGGCTTCACTCCTCAATAGTGAGGAGCATTGAACATAATTATGTACGTCAGAAACAGGAGTCATCTCTGACATACGCTAGTTAAGGAAAAGTCTCATCCAAACCTCAGATCTCTCACTTCAATGTTTCAACAGGAAAAAATAAAAATTAAAAAAAAAATAATGAAGGGAAGTGCTCATAATAAATATACACACAGCACCTTATTTTTCAAGCATCCAATCCAGTCTCCACTAAAAATAGCTCCCATGGCAGCTCCTCTCCTCCTATCATCACAGGCAGATTTGCCCCCAAGCAGATGCCTGGGTCCCTTACCTAAAGGCTGGTTATTGTCAATCAAGAGCGATCCTGGACTAAAGTATTTGCTCTCACTAGAAACTACAGCTTTGTTACTGAGCATCCAAACCCAAAGATGGGATTTCCATTCAGCTGAGATCCTCTCATAGCACTATCCTAAAGCCTCAGAATGGCCAAGCTGCTAAACAGATGCTGCAGTTAATAGGCTTAGAACTAGGCTGATTTAACCAATTCCCTGAAATTCATGAGGTTTAATCTACACTCCAGACAGGACAGAAATCTGAAGCCAGAAGTCTGAATTCTCTTAAAGGAAAATAAGAGAGCCACAGTACTATTTGCTAAAAGTTCGTGTTGAATATGAAATGTCAGCAGTAAAATTTGATCCTCATAGTTACTGAACAAAAGTTTTGTGGTTTGGGGTGTTGTTTTTTTATTTTTGTGTGTGTGTGTGTGTTTGTTTTTATTGTTTTGTACAAATTACACTTCTAGTTTAGGGGAAAAATCCCTGCAAGAGACTGCGAAGACTTACACTTTGGAAGACTAATTATGGAAAACATTTTCATTATGCAAAAGAAAAAGCAGATGCTTTCAATCAAAATGGTTTATTTTAAACTGAGGAAAATATAGTCTCTCCACTTGAGAGCACTGCGCGTGCAGATCTTCTGTTTCTGGCTCCGATGAACCAAACGCCAAATGGCTGCCAGTCTTCAGCAGAACACCCAGATCCTTACAGAAGTTACACACACAGTACTAGGACACCGGCAGCAGTGACAGACTACATACAGACTGCAATAATTAATTGGGAACTAATTTAAGTCAGCCACCAACAGCACTGAGTGCAGCGCCAGGATGCTCTTTCCCAACAAGAAAGTCACATACCTGAAATTCACAGTCCTTTCAAAAACTTCTCAGAAGTCTTTAAAGCTTTTAATTGCTCTAAATCTAATTAGCAGGAAAGCTAATTAGACACAGATATTACAACATCACATTCAGTACAGCAAAGCCCTCCCTCGCCACTAATGAGATTAGTTCCTTCCCTAACATGGAGCGTTCTCACGCCACGCTCCTGAACACAGGGTTCTGGAGACTGGCAGCAGAGCCACTTTGTGCACACAGCAGCATATGCTGCCGAACAGATCCTGAAGAGATGCTAAATTTAAAAAAAAAAAAAAAAAAAAAAGGAGCAGAGATCCTTTTTAGCTCTTTACTGCATAGCCTATCACTTGTGAGAGAATTGGCTAAACAGAGCAGCTCTGCAAACCTCACACAACTGCCTCAATACAGGCAGGAAGGCAGCTCCAGGAGCAAACCACGCTTCTGAGGCAGAGCAGCTCTGTGCTTGGTTTGGTCTGATCCAGCCGAAGACTCGGGATTATCCAGCTCTCTGCTTCAGGATTAAATTTGAAGAACTCCCTGTTCTGCTTATCACAGACCCTTAGCCCTGCAGAAGCGAGAAGCTCTGGGATTACACACCATGAAGGCACCTCAACAGTTAACTCCAACCTACGATTTTCCGCTCAAATGAAGCAATTTGCACAGCTGAAGCCTTTACTCCCACCATCAGCTTGCATAAAATTTGAGAAGTTTTAAGCATTCAATTTTCTTATCAAGGTAGGCTGGGATATCCTAACTTTAATTGCTCCATTAACTGCTGGTTTTAAGACTTTTAGACTACTTTGCAATTATCGTGAAGAAAATTCCTTCCTAAATACACACAGAATGAAAAAAGGGGAGGGGGGATAGGGAAACATCAGGAAAGTCAGTTCCATCATCAGCATTATACCATGCTACTGGCACCGCAAAAGCAGTAGGGAAATGCCCTTAAAATAAATAAAATAAATGAATAAATAAAGAAAAACTAAACTGAGCAGTTAATTGGGGTCTAATTCCACGTCTGACAGTCACTCCCTTGAAATCGCGAAGCTGCAGCTTTCAACATGCAGTCAGGCCCATGTGAGCACAAGAAATTCATGCTCTTGTCTAGATATGCAGCACCAAACCTTTTTGATATGCTGCAGCATTACAAAACTATTTTCAGGTGATAAGGGCTGCATTCACAGTTGTGAGCAGCACACACCAGGCCAAGACGTGTACCTGAACAACCAGCGGTTACTGCACAGTGACAACTTCAGCAATTCAGGAATCAACTGAAGATGACTTTCTGACCGAAGATAAGTCTATAAAGCACTTTAATAATTGTTTATTAAAGAGTGGCTTGATAAAAAGACACACAGCAGTTTCAGAAGGTGAATTAACAGAGGGCAGTTAGTTAGGTCTGGCTGTGTTAAGCACTGTATGATGTTAATTTACAAAACCATCCTCTTGGCTGCAAAAGCAACATGTGCACAGGCTGGAGGTAGCTAAGTTCCTGAAGCATTATCTCTGGGAAATATACCCAATGGGCTGGACATCCTCACTACTGTCAGAAAAAAGTAGTTCTTTAGTAAAGAATATCATTTTTGATGAGGTCTTATCTTATCCATGTAAGGCGGGCACACTGACATCTCTCAACTTTTCCTCCTCTAAGCCATGATCTAAACCTTGAACGGCTGATTCACAAACTGCTGAAGGAAAAAATAGAACATTTAACATTTTCACTAGGGCAAGGAGTTTAAGAAATAAAAATAAATATTGCACAGCAGAGGAGCCACTGTCGTTTTCCCTTAGAAACCACAGAAATTGTGTTAGTCTGGGTCCTGGTCATAGGCAACTTTACACTTATTCTTCTGTATAGTATTAGAGTCTCATCCTAACATCTCCCAAAAATGCCTTCCATGGCTGAGAGCAGACAGAGCCCTCCCTGCCACCTCCTGCACGTGTCCTTGCGGTGGCTCCTTCCCTGGCAGCCCAGGAGCGCTGTGCCGCACACTGACAGCTGCTGGCAGAGCTGGCCGTGGGCACAGCAGCTCAGTCCCGAATGGGGACGAGGATTCAGCGAATCCCAGACCCAGTCAGCAGCAGCTATTTGGGGCAGCTGCATTAGCACGGCCCCTGTCCTGGAGCTGATGTGGACCCCACAGGCATGCTGGCTGCTTGCTCTCACCTACTTCTTCAAGCCCATGGTCAGCAGGGAATCAGTAGGAGGGGGGCACAAAGCACAGCCCCCTGCCCACTCAGCTCTGAGGTCAAATGGAGAACACACCACACCAGAAGGGATGGCTCTGAGCGAGCTGAAGCCCTGCAGCAGCTCCCCTTGGTGCCTCAGCCCTTTTCCAGGTGCAAGGAGAAGCCCTGCAGCAGCAGCACGCTGCCTGCACACCTCTGCCCGCAGCGCTGCTTTCCCTGCCACCAGCAGCACTGCAAAGGGCATGAGCGTGACCTATTTCTATGGACTCCTCATCCCCATGGCAACTGGCCTGTGTTTAAGTTGGAACAGCTGGAACTGAGGCAGGGAGACGTCGCAATGTAAATAGTGGGAGTGCGAGCAGGCTCCGGGGCTCGGCACGAAGAACGGGTCCCTCGGAGCTGGTTATCAGGGTCAGCCATGGAGCTGCAGAGGGGACTGCGGGCTGCATATGCAGCTATAATTCGTATTTGTGCTCCAAGATACTCTGCAACACAGCAAACATTCTGTAATTATGTACATAAGCTGAACTGAAACACGATTGCCAAGTTCTCCGCCAAAGCAGTAATTAAGAACGCTGAAACGGCAGCGAAGCAGCAGCTGAGGTACCCCTGGTAACTAACACTGGATCGCACCCGCTCCCGTAATGCCACAGGTCTCGCACTGTTCAGTACATCAGTTAAAAGTTCCTGCCCCAAAAGCTCCAATTACAGAAGTATTACAGAAGAATCTGTTTTCACTCTTATTTTCTGGCTTCAGGCCTCCCTCATTAGCTCAGAAATGAAGGCAGTAAGGATTTTAGTTTCATATTAGATGCTATTTTGTTTTAACATCACTATTAAAATTACAGATATTGCTTGCCTTAAGTCCCAATGCTTGTAAGGAGTTTGAGATTGCAGTACTGCAAAAATGAAATGTGGCAGCTTTATAGAATTAGAATAAATACAGTTTGAGTTAGAGAAAGGATTTAATATTTAATTGAAAACGAGCCCTTTACTTTTATGAAGAGACATTTTTCCTTCACATGAGGAAAGGTCATTGAATCGCCTTCAAACAGCGTTATACTTCACAGCTGTGTGAGTCCTCCAAGAAAAATAGCCAGAACTATTTAATACTAAAATCCAGCAAGATTCATTAAGTGCAAGTTTTGGAATGCAGAGAAGCTTCTTTTAAGGAACTGATATTCCTGGTGAGTTCCATCTTTGGAAGCTTATTTTTCAGCCAACATCTAAATCTGCACTCAAGCGAGTCATTTTTTCCAATAACCAAATAAATATGAGCTCTAAGAACAAGGCATGCACGGATACACCTACAGCCTGAGGCACAGGCAATGCGCCACTTCACAGGGGCAGTTTGTACAATAAATATGGACCAATATTAGTGGTAGTTTCAGTGAGAGCTGCCTGTTGCATGTCTTTTAGTCCCAGAAGTGAAAGGTAAAAGAAAATAGAGCTGTACAGTTCAACAGCTCCACCTTCACAACTCCACGTGGAGATTTGTTGCAGCACCGTGGGCTGCAAGAAGCAGGCTCACCCACCTCCTCCTCTGGTTTCGGTTTCCTCTGACTTAGTGGAATTCCTCTTACTTAGAGGAATTGCTGGAAATACATTTGCACAGCTCAGCGCTACCGAAGAGGTTTCCATCCTCATTTATCAATGAGGATGAACCCAGCATCCAGGAGCTCTGGACCGACCCAAACTCCAGTTTAACAGGCCCTTGCTCAAGTCTGCCATCAACTGACTTCACTGCATCCCGGGATTAAAACTGAATACCTCCCAAGAATAAATGATGGCTGCAGGTCTGCATGCTCCTGGTCTCTTCATTGCAAAGTCTGTCTGGCCTAGAAGCAAAAATTAATTTTGCTGTCTTCCAAAAGCCAAGGATTGAAAATGTTCCCACAACTCTCCAATGAGCAAATTTGACTCATGCTAAACACCAGCCTCGGTAAGTGCTGTTCTGTTTGCCTGTTTCACGGTGGCTGCACAGCAAGCAAAAACTCTTGCAGTTATTTGCAAGAGCCCTTAAACCCCTCATTGGGGAGTACACCTCAGTGCCTTCTCATTTCACAGACACAGCCCGCATGCTTTTTGCTCTAGGGTATGTTAAAACGGCATACAAGTGCAATAACAGCATTGGCCGTGCGTTTCCCCTCTCTGCTTCCTTCCCAGCTCAGTCAGGGAAATAAGCAGTCAGGCAGAGTCTCATCACAAAAGAAGAACAGCAAAACCTCTAAGTGCTGAGGTGTTTTCCACCCATCTTCTAAAACCCTCTCAAAAAGAAGGGAAAAACCCCTCTGACTGCCACCCATCAGCAATCCCAGCCTGTAACGACATTAGGGCCAAGCATCCAAGCAAGGCCACAAGTAATTCACAGCTGGTTTCAACCTGCAAGTCTAAGAACAGATTTTAATGTTAAGCTATCAAAACTAGTAGGCCCACGCAAGAAGCTTCAATCCTGAAGAACCTTCCCCCCTACCCCTAGAAAGTCTCGCTCTTTTAATTTGAAGAAGTCCTTGCCAGTTTCACCAGCATCCCCTTCATCTATTACAGTGCTAAATTCCCACTCTGCCACATTAACACAGCAAACATAGAGACCAAAACGACAACTCAAGTCTCCAGAAATCTAGAACAATTCCGTTTTTGGCTGCTACACCCCTTTTTACTGCTTCCTTCCAGAGGAGGATTAGGTCCCACCTACATTCCGGCAGCAGCAGATATCTGGGAGAGCACCTCACCTCCAGGAAACGCACACCCAGGGCTCCAACAATTATTCTACGTGCTAAGCTGTTTGCTCCTGAATTCGCTTTCACCAGCCCCACCTCTGTTCTAATTTAGCTGTCTGCTTCCTTTCAGGGCCTGTGACAAAACTGTCCAGCTTCAGAGGTGGAGAAGCCAAAACTGCCAGAGAGAACAAAACCCACAGACACCCCCCACACCCCAGGTGCCTCGCTCTCTGTAGGAGCTGCTGCACTCCAGTTGGTTCAGCATCTTCACCTCCACCTTTCCCCAATTCTTTCACTGCCTATGGAATCAGATTTGCAGAACACATTCTTACTGCTCTTCCTGTGTCCATCTGCATTCAGCCCCACTGTGCTTCCACTGGAGAAAAGCCTCCAAGCACATCTAAGTTAGGAGCACGAAGCAGCACAGCCATTTCCCCCATCAGCTCGGTGCGGGTATTTCTCAGTACCAGTAACACAAATATTTGCATCTCATTTCTGGTGGTGATAGCTGTGATTCAGGAAGGTACATACCACAGGCTAACGCATCAGCTGACTGAGGTACGCACTGACAGAGGAGCCTTACTCTTCTCTGTTACTGATCATCGTGATCTGTTGATGCAAACCAACTTCACACTATTTATTCTTTCACTAATTACATGTTAACAGCTAGGCTGCAGCAGCCAAGTTTTAAAATATGTTCACTTTTTTTTTTGTAAATATTTGAATAGCGTTAGATTTCTTCCACCATTTTCCCTCCAGATTTAAGATTTAAACATTTAAGTCAGTCTAACAAGCTAGAAATTACCAGTTTGAGATTTGGCTGGTTTTTTTCTTCTTCTTCTTTCTATTTAAGCTTGCAGACCCCGGGAGGGATTGGAAAACTTCTGCATTTTATCAGAAAGAAGTTTCTTGCAAGTTGTCTGTAGCAACTTGTTTCTTGAAAGCACAACCTGTAGGAAGCTACCGGCTCTGCCTCCACAGAATTTGGGTGCTTGAGAAGCCGACTACATCCCATTGTAACAGTGCACCTCCGAGCTAAGGTCTGCACAGTACTCTCAAATTATAGTCTCTCATAGAAAACACATCCTAGAACAAGAAGACACAGCAGTGACAGGCAGGAGCCCATACAAGGTGCTAAGCCGGGTGTTCAGACATCAAAGGTTTGCCTTCAGCTCCGCAGCTATCTGCCCTCCGACCCCTTCCCTTGTGACAGAGGTGCTGGCCCCAAAGCTGAGTTTCATGGGGTGTAGCTGATGAGGGTAAAAAGCAGACAGGAGGAAAAGAAGCATTTACTTCTTCACCTTCTCACAATATCACAATGTTACAGAACATAAGGTTGACTGCAGGGACAGCACAAAGTGCCAAGCTGCAAGGCAGGCAGGCACTGTTCCCTGAGCCCCTACCCAAACAATCAGAGTCTTCCTCCAGGTCTATCCCAAGAACACTCCTTGTGCCAGTACCTCCCAAAATGACCTAATAAGAAATATGGAAAAACAGAGCAAAAGGACAGTCACTCTAAGTTCACATTTAACAAATACAGAAAAACTTGATAAATTAAAGCAGCCAAGAGACCAATTTGGGCTCCGTTCCAGCTTCCTGGCATAATGCTGCTTCTGTGGGCATTACAGCCAGTGCTTTACAATTTGGCTGACACACCCAGGAACGTGGCTCCCAACGCTGTGTTTGTTAATACAAGTAGCCAAGACTGAGCTTATGCTGGAACTCTGTTCAAATAAGAAACAGAGAGCCTACCTCAGAGATTTCTGCCTCCCAGAACTAAGGCAGAAAAAAGAATGCCTCTAATACAGTCAGCTGGATTTTCTGTGGTGAAGATAGTATGATCCCAGCTACATTTATGCTTCCTTCAGCATCAGCTATGCTGGTATTTGGCAAGTTCATTTTAGACTTCTTAGATCTCACAATACACAAATGCTTACTTTGAATTCAAAGATACAAACTATTTTCATAATCTTTCTTTCCTTGCAGTAGGAAACCAAACCCCACAGTTTTGCCAGTCATTCACAGCACATACTCGCATGGAGGTTTCAAGAAATCACATCAGTCTGTCCTTTTAGCTACAGTAAAATTAAACTCCAAAGGTTTTCCCCCTCCACCAAGAGCATCATGTATATAGAACTATGAACATTCAGTACTCAAAGTTACTGCACCATGCACTTACAAGGAAAATTCTTTCTTTCATTCTTTCCTATAATTTTGGTGAAAATGACTAGCTAACCAGGAATACCTGGGTTTTGGTGTTTGTCAGAATAAATCCTAACACCCCCCAAACTCCCCAAAAGTTGTACCTTGCATCAAACAGCGTGCATAAGTAAAACCTAACGATGAAATAAATTATTCTCAAACTGTCCCACCTGTCTCTTTGCTCATCTAGAGACAAGAGGAAGACCAGAGGTCAGGCTGCTGATCCCCCAGACCCGAGGAAATCTAGTCCCCTAGGCCAAACACTCCTCCACGTTTTTGTACATGGCTTTGGAGAAGATCATGCAATTTAGATATTATGACCATTACCGCTAACACATCTACCCAGTGATAAAACTTCTAAGCAAGTTTTACCCTGCCATGTTACTCACTGCCTGATGGATTTCAGACTTCACTTCTTCACTCAGCATTCCCTCAAACACAAAGGAATCGCCAAATTTCTCTGCCTAGAGAAAGAACAAAAAATCGATCACATTATCAGGGAAACATTCTTAAAATGCCAGCCACATTCACAGCTTTATTCTGTGAAGAATAAGGAAATCCTAACAGTAATTTTGAGTTTGCTTTTAAAGAAGCTGATTTGGAATCAAAGAAAAGGCACTGTCTGAAACAGCTGAGGCAGTGCTCCAGAACTGGACTACAAAATCCTCAACTATCACAAAATTTCTCAAATCCCTTCACTCCTTGTCTTCCAAATTAAGGAAAAAGAACTAACAGCATTGTTGTACTGGTACAAAGATGTCCTAGGACCCAAAAGTCAAAGAAATAAATACATGTAAATCCACGTAGACATCTTCAGCTGCCTGCTGACTTCACCCACGCTGCCTCAGTCACACTGCAGGGAAGATTTTTAGTTCACAGATCAAGACGCTTGCTAAAAGCAACAGTAAGTATCTATCCTAGCGCCCTTTCAGGCTCCTTGGCAGCAAGGCAACACAATTTGGTCTCTCCACTACTTACATCCAAACCATTCTAGCATGCAAATTCCAATATCACACTGTGAGGGCCTACAAAAACGGATAAGCTTTAGGTGTGGATTTTTCCATCATCAACAAAGATGACAGAAGACTAAAAACCCTTCCTGCCTTACCTCCGTGAGGTACCCAGTCGCGTTCACGAACCTCTCGAAGTCCTCGTTGCTGACCTCGTGCTGGTCCATGTAGAAGCCGTTCAGGCGCACCCTGCGGGCAGGGCCCTCCCCGTCCTGCCAAATCTCCGGCTCATCTGTGCCCATCGTGAACACCCCTCCTGGAATAGCCACCATCTGCAGAGGAAGCAGTCCACACCAAACAGGTCACCAAAATTAAGGACTGACAAGTCTCTTACTGCTTTTACTTCCCTCTCTCCCTCATCTTTGAAGGTGCTCCTGGCTTGAAGCAGTACGGATGAAAACAGCACAGCAAGGTACCAACACTGACACCACGCTATCCCCACCTGCTCAGAAAATAACACAGAGCAGAACACAAATCGAGAGCAAAAACTTTCTTAAAATAACCTTAAATGTTAATTGTTTCAGTAAGATACATTCCCTTTGAGGCTTCAGCCAACTTCCAGGGAACCAAAACACGCTTCCCCTTTGCCTTATAGGGTTCTTCCTGGGAAGACGAAGGCCCCGAAGGTCTCGTCATACCTCACCGTGTGCTTCTTGAGACCCCGCTAAAAAGTGCAGACTGAGCAAACCATCCCTCACCCAACAGCCCTTCTCTCAGAAATACCAAGAGCTGCCACGATCCCTGCTCAGAAACCTCTGCTGGAAGGACAAACGACAGCTCAGGCTCCCTAAAATTTGCCCAGCTGGCAGGTGACATTTCAGGGGCTAATACCACCCAAGAGCTACCTTGCTGAGAAGCCACCCAACTCCTCATCATGTGGTGAATGCAGTAGGGAAGAAAACTCCCTCTACTTCATTGTCAGCACTCCCAGGCTACCTTCAGTCCCAAACTCACGCTGAACTCAGCCACCTCCCTCTGCTGGCAGCGGATCAGAGGCCTGTGCGTGGGTGAGCACCAGGAAAGCCTGTCAGCACTGACAGAGGCGTCCCCTAGGAGAATAACCCAGTGCTGGCGATGCCCCAGCACACACTGACAGGGCGCGTGCCCATCCGTGCCACATGCTGCTCTTAGAGGGGATTCAAGCTGGTGACAGAAAGCAAAGCGAGCACAGCTCATTCTGAGGGATGGAAGCACTTGGTGCGGGCTCCTGACGTTTGGTATGTCGGAAATGCAGGTCTCATAACAGAACTACTCGCCATGCTTCCCAGTGAAGCATGGTCCTAGCGCTACTCCACAAGTGTCATTTCAGTTCTGACAAAAAAGATAGAAGGCTAAAAAAGAACCTAAAAAAAAAAAAAAAAAAAAAAAGAACCCCTTTCCAATCCACTGTAGCTAAAACAACTCCTGGAAGCAATCTTCAAAGACCTCTTTCAGCAAGACTGTAAGCTCACTGGTGAATCGCTGCCTGAAGCCATATGAAAAATTAAAATTAACTCTCGCTGCACAGCCTCACGTTCCTTTCCAAACCCTGAAACATCCTGACAGGCTGCCAGCTGGGAACCCTGACAGATTGCCAGGCAGGGAACTTGACAGATTGCCGGGCGGCTTCAGCTGGGAGTGCCCCAAGGCTTCCTGACGGGCACCGGCACCTCAGCAGCACCTGGCCGCGCAGCTCCGTGCGCTCAGAGCCCAGCTCCGGCAGCACGGCCGGGGCCGGGGCCGGGGCCGGGGCCGGGGCCGGAGCCGCTGCCCCCCGCTGCCCCCGCCGCTCACCGGCCCGCTCCTGCCGCTGCCGCTGCCCTGAGCCGCCGCGTAGCGCCGCGCCGCCGCCTCCCGCCCGCCGCCGCCGCGGCCGGCCCCGCAGCCGCAGGACCCGCCGGGAGCCGGAGCCGGATTCGAATCCGGAGCTGAATCCGGCTCCAGGTCCGGGTCCGCCCCCGCCGCCAGCAGCAGCGCCAGGACGAGGAGCAGCAGCCGCGGCAGCGCCCCGCAGCCACCGGGCGCAGCCATGTTGGGCGGCGTCACGTGCTGCTGCGGTCACGTGGTGGTCGCGTCTTAAAGGGGCCGCGCCTGGCTCCTGGTGCTGCCCCCCCTCAAATACCTGGGGGCTGCCTGGGGTCGGGGGCGCCCGGCGTCTCCTTGCCTCTTGCTGGGGCTCCGCAGTTGTTGGAGGTTTGGGCGCTCCGCCACGGAAAGCTTTACGTTGTGGGGAAGCTGCTGCTCAGGGCTGTGCAGAATGGACCTACAGTGCACCCTGTGGGGCAGCAGCTCCCTGCGCTTCACATCATGTTCCCTGCACAAACCAGGGCTGTGCAGCTCAAAGCAGGGGCAGAGTGAAGGAGACTTTTGTTTCCTTTTGTACTGCTGGAAAGCAACACTACGCACTCCCATGGGCCGCATGAAGTCTCAGTGTGTGCTGGAATCACAGCGCTGGGTGCTCCCAGTAGCTCTCAGCAGTCCCTTTTGCCCCGCGATGTACTCAAAAAAACCCAAACGGACACAAACTTGGTAACAGCCTGCCCCCAGCAGAGCCGTGGGGTTCCGGCTGTGCCGTTACAGAGCTCAGGGAAAGCAGCTCGTGTCCAGCCCGCTGGGGTATCTCGCCTACTGGTTCCCATCGCTTGCTTCCCTAGAACCCTTTTTTGCATCATTTCTGTACTTTCACCAGGAAGGTTTATGTTCCTGTATTGTCCTAGGAGACCAGACAAAGCCATTAAAATGTCCGGTTGCCCCTGAACAGCATCCGAGCTGCAGCTTGTGACCCTGAGGGCTCCCGAGAACTTTCTTTGGTGTCGTTTATTGACGGTGTCCGCGCTCCTAAGCCATTTCTTCACAGGCAGGACATCTCTTCCACACAGTTTAATTATTCTCCTTCCTGGTACTGAGTCCACCGTGCTTCAGAATTGCGAAACCGCTTTCACTGTCATCAAAATATCATAAAAACGGGAGATTTATCCACAATTATCCTCCCAGAGCCCTTAAACCTAGCGCTGTCGGCAGGAGGCCCTTCCCGGGCACAACCTCCCGGAGCTCTGCCCGGGCAGGGGCGCTCCGTGAGGGGGGGACACAGCCCCTGAGGGGAGAGGACAAGCGACATGATGGGGCTGGGGGGCGAAGCCACCTCAGCGGGACGGGACGGGGCAGGGCCGCGGGGCACGCCGGGAGTTGTAGTCCCGCGGGGCGCTCCGCTGCACTGGATCTCCCGTACGCCAGGACTACATTTCCCAGCAGCCCCCGCGGCGGTATATAAAGGCGGGGCGGCGCGGCGGGCGCGCAGTAACCATGCGGACGGGCCGCTGAGCGGCGGCAGCGGGGCGCGGGCTCCGTCCCTACGGCACCGGGCAGCGCCGCCGGCATGGGGCTGCCGCAGCGCCGCTAGCACGCCCCGGCCGGACACAGGTAGGGCCGGGGGAGGGCTCGGTAAGCACCGGGGGGGCGGGTGGCTCCGCTCCGGGCAGCGGGCACCGCCGGAGGCTGCTGTAAGGGAGCCGGCGTGGGGCTGGCAGCAGCCCCCGGGGGTCGCAGCAGGGTGCTGGGGGGGTGAATTCGGTGCTTTTGGGGTGTTTCTCGCGATGTGCTGTGTGTGGCAGGAGCGGGTGCTTGCTGCTCGGGTAGCCCTCCACCTGCTCGCCTGCTGCGAGGAGGGAGCAGCCCGGCTTCCTCCCGCTGGGGTTGGTAAATTAGGAAGGAAACAAACAGCCCGAGCACGGGGCTCGCCTCTGCAACCGTGGGGTGGAGCCTGGCGGTGGGAAAGAGCGTGTTTGGTCAAAGAATTGGTGCTCGCCATGCAGGGCTGGGGCGGGGGGAAGGCCCTGGTGGAGGCACTGGGCTCGGTGGTGCCCTCCTGGAGGCACTTGTTGGAGCCCCCAGGGGGGATGTGGGGACTGGCAAACAGGGGGTCAGCAGCAGTTGTGGCTCCTGATAGAAATGAGGGGTTAACAGGGCCTGGTGGCACTGCCTGTCCTCTCGCATCACCCCAAAGGATCAGTCTGTGGGGTGCATCAGGACCCCAAAGAATCAAGCCCAAGTGATGAGAGGGAACCCGAGGTGCTGGCTCCCCACAAGAGCTGTCACAGTGTAGAGCGAGCCCTGCAAATAGCTTGTGACACCGGGTCTTGGGCTCAGCCTTGCTGTAGAGGTAGTGCTGGATGGGTGCCAGGACGTGGCAGTGTGGGGGGCAGCCGGTCCCCCCCCAGAGTGTCAGAGTTTGGGTGAAACGTGCAGGTAAGATCGTGGCATTTCCCACATGTGTGCAAGAGGAGCAGCAACAGCCTGGTGCCTGCCCTGTACCAGCCAGTGGGGTCCTGAGGCCTGTGCTGGAAGCAGGAGCTCCTTCCAGTGCTTCCCGGGGGTACCTGGCTGCCATGGATGGTTTCGAAGCCAAACTTTTTCCAGCAGCCTCCCAGCAGGACCCAGGTCCTGGGGGCCGTGCGATGCGCCAGGTGCCGGGGCATGCCGGGAGCCCGCAGCGGCGCCACGCCATAAACACGAGAGTTGTAGTTGTAGGATTGTGCTGGAAGACGGGAGGAATCTGGGAATCCCGTGGGAGGTGGGACGAGGGTAGTGGCTCTGTAGTAGCTGGTAGACGGGCTGCTTGCTCGCCCGTGGGTGAGTGTGAGGGAAGGCAGCTTCGCCAAAGCAGCTTACAGGGACCAGAGGGGCTTAGAGCTGGAAGACGGCCTGCTGGTAGAAAGTTATGTAAATGTAACATTTCTGTCACGATGTGACTGTGGTATTAATCTGCTTTCATAAAAAGCTTCCTTATGGAACGCTCCAAATTCGGTGCTTCTGCTGCTGAGGTAGCACCTTCGCGAGTAGCTGTTGCTTCAGGAGCCTGGAGCCGTTTTTCTGCTTGCTGCTGTGTAGCAGTGCCAAAGAGGAGTTAAAAACCTCCGAGCAGTTCTGTGTAGCCCCCTGCACGCTGCGCTGACTGACCTGTAAAGCAGAAGGCTTGAAAAGTCAGCAGACGTATCCATGAGCTGCAAAGCTGCTCCTGTCCACGGCCACGGCTGCTCAGAGCGATTCCTGTGATCTTCGTCGGGCATCTCCCAGCGGCGGCTGCGGGAGGCAGGGTGCCAAGCAGCCCGAGCTTTGATGCGGCCCGATATTCCTTCCTGACTTCTGTTCCCAGCAGACGCCACAAAAGCCCCCCCCCCGTTGCTGCCTGGCTCCATCTTGGCACGGGAGCGGAGCGCTGTGGCTGGGGATGGGGACGGAGCTGGCTTCCAGGGGGCTGCAGCCCCGCGCTGCCTTGGCAGAGGCAGCCACACCAAGTGTCTGCAGGCCCTGCGTGCTCCCTACCTGTTGAGAAACTACTTTTCCAGGTCTTCAGCTCAGTTGGGTTCTGTACGACTGCATTCTTTCTTTTCGGGGAAAAAAAATATTAAGATAAAGTAAACTACAGGAACCATAATTCCAAGGTGGAGTGAGGATGCAAAATTCAGCTCTGGATTCTGAACTCAGAAAAGTTTCATTTTCATAGTTGTGGTTTTGGTTAAGCCTATCAAAACTTGCATCAGAACTTTTTTTTTTTTCCCCTTCCTAACAGTGTTTTTATTGAGAGCAAGAACTACAGATCTGGGGAAGTTAACCCTCTAAAGAGACAGGCGCGTTAGAAATGTGCGTGGAAGCATGTGTTATTCTGCTGATTTACAGCTCGCAGTGATGTAACTCCATCCTCATCTGCCAGAATGCTAATGTGAGCAGCGCTGCAGCCAGCTTAGTGCTCCTGCCTCCCCAAGCGCTCTGCTGAGCAGATTATCAAAGGGCGGTAAACAGCGCTGAGAAAACTGAGTGCCAGATGAAAAAAAATCGGGATTAGAAGGTTAGATAACGTTTCTGCTTTTGGAGTAATCTGATACTTCAGGTATAGGGAAGGAGGCCTGGATACCGAATCCAGATGTAAGGATGTGTACATAAACAGTTCGTTCTCTCCTCATCCCCACCATGTGCGAGATGTCAGAAGCCAGTAATCTCGGTGCACATACGGGTAAGAAATCCGTCTCATCGCAGTAGGCCAAAAAAATGGCTACTGCCAAAAGACTGTGGCTTCTTTTTTTTTTATTTCTGGGAATTGCTTAGTAGCAGTTGAGTATGAAAGTTTTACAAACATTTGTTTTGCACCATGGCAAACCCTCTTCATCGCTTCTTCAGAAATCTGCCAAGAAGTTCTGAAGAAAAGCTTTAATCGTAACGCTGTGATGTCCAGATATGTCCTGGGACACGTGGGCACAAAGGCAGATGCCTGACGGTTTGCTAATGATGCTCGGTCTGAAGGATTAATTGAAAACTGATTTATCTTATGATTGAAGTAACCCATCAGTCCTTGGCCGCTCTCCCATCGGTAAGGGTTAAGCAGATTCACTTGCTCATGCTCCCCATGCGATGAGGTGGTACAGAGGCCTGAACCTTCCCTCCAGGAGGACGACCTGTGCTTGCCTTCTAGAAAATCACCGCGGGGAGCTCAGCGTGTACCAGGCGGCCCGAGAAACGGAGCCTTCATCTGCAAGGAGCCCAACCCAAGGGTTTTTTAGATCAGGAGGGCGCAAAGTAGGTCTGCTGGCCACCAGTGGTTCTCCCCACGTGCTGGTCACGTGCTGGCGGTGGCTCCTCCTCGTGGGCTGCTCGTCACGGGCATTTAGGGTTTTCTCTGCAGCCCCGGATGCCTGCGGAGGTATCCAGGAGGGAAGAGCAGTGGGCTCACCCTTGGAGAAGGGCTGCTGCCGCTGGGAGACGCGGGAAGACTTGCAAGGCTTCGCTAGGAGAGACCTGCTGGCGGGAGAAGAGCGGCGATATTCCTGCTGCGGGGACCCGAAGCTGCCAGCAGCCATCCTGCAGAGCCCAGCCCTGGACGAGGACGCCGGTGCCACCATGGAGGGCAGGGAGCCCCCGCCAAGGTGCGGTACTGGCAAGGGAAGAGATGGAAGGCGTAGCGTGTGGAAGGGCAAAGGCGTTGGGCAGGCAGGGGTAGGGGGAGATGAACCAACACAGGAGGAGGAAGGAAAATCCCTGGGTACGTTTAGGGCGTCTTGCATTT